GGAGGAACAGATTGGGGCTATCTGAGGGACCTCCAGAGAAGACTTTTAGTATGTACTTAGCATATGGATCTGCAGGGATCAGGAACTGAGGCCCATCATCTAATCACCCTGAGCCTCCATGTCTCCGCCTATAAAATGAAGATACAACACCTGCACGTTCGACTTGACAGACTGTTACTGTAAAATATGAAACAATGAATGTAAAACATGTGTTTAAACAAGAAAGTCCTTTAGGGCTTCCCTGGTGGTGCAGTGGTTGAGAGTCCGCCTGCCGATGCAGGGGACACGGGTTCGTGCCCTGGTCCGGGAGGATCCCACATGCCGCGGAGCGGCTGCACCCATGAGCCATGGCCGCTGAGCCTGCGCGTCTGGAGCCTGTGCTCCGCAACGGGAGAGGCCCCAACAGTGAGAGGCCCGCGTACCGCGCACGCAAAAAAAAAAAGGAAGTCCTTTAAAAATGTAGGAAGTTATTTTATTAAAGTCACATTCAGCTCCTTACCAACCTGCCGCTGCGCCTCAAATACTCTGAGCCATCTAGATCAACATCCTCACCATTTCCTGTTACACCACGCTCATTCCCAGTTTCAGACCTTCATTCACGCAGTTCCTAACCGAAATGGCCTTCCCTCTCCCCAGGCTATAGTCTACTGATGCCCTGAGGTTCAGTGCAAGTCTCACCTCTTAGACTTTTGGAGGTAACATTAACTTCTCACCTGAGCGCTTATTACTTGCCTGTGTGTGTTTGGTGGGGGTAGTGCCTTTTAAATTGACTTTCCTTTTTAGTTAATTTATTTAATAGATAATATATTCACAGTGTTTAAAATTCAAAAGCTACCAAAGAGTTTACAGTAAAAAGTCTACTTCCTACGCTTATTCCTCAAGTTCTCTTCCCCCAGGCAGTTAATAACATCAGTTTTTGGTGATCCTTCCCCAGACAAGCAAATTAAAATCAGTGGCTTTCAGATTATGCTCTGGTGGCTCAGATGACAACAGAGGCCACAGGGAAAGAGACCAAGCAGTTCTGTTTCTTCTGATTCCAAAATAGCTGCACTGTTTGTACTTATTTTACATACAGGGCTAAAAATTTTGCTATATTTTAGTAACAGCAACTGTTACTAAAGTTTTAAAATTGCTAACTATACCATTCATTTTGTAGCCTAATATATACTATATGGCATTATTATTGTATTCATATACAGCTGTTAGGCAAAAACAAAAATTTATGCAGAATAAATTTGGAAATGGTGGTTTAAATAATTGCTATAGGACTATGTGTTCTCAGCCCTAAAATCTGAGCTCTGAGAAATTACACTGAGGGTGTGTGGGGATGATAAGAGGAGAGGTGTAAGCAGAAAAAGAGAAAAAACAGAGTAAATATTCCACATGCCTGGGAAAGAGCAGGGCGTTAGCTTTTGTAATAAGAAAATACGACACTGGGCATTCTTATTGCTCCTGGGAGGTGGCTAAAACTCTAGGGATAAGCTTGGTGGCAGCTGTGGAAAAGACAGGATTCTAAGCACTAGGGAAGATATCAGCTTTGGCAAAAATTCCCTTTCCCTTTATGTGGCCCAGTAGCCATGGAATCCTCCAAGGATGAATCCTGAAGGATCAAACACACACATAAGCTCGGACAATAGACATCTTACGAATGAAGCCCCGACAAAATCTCTGCTATGTTGGCACTACTTAAGTCTCACAGGACTTCTGTATAAACCAGAGAGGGGAAATCTCCAATAATGACTGAGATTGAACTGCCTATCAAACCTATATATAAGGGTTTCGGAATCAAACCAAATTGGGTTTGAACTTTTCTCCACTTATCACTAACCGTGTATCCTTGGGGAAGTAACTATCTCTGAGCCTAAAATTCGTCATCTATTAAATGGTGATAGTATTCACAGGACCGGTATAAGACTTTAGTTGGTATATACATTAAGTATACAAAATGCTTAGTACAATATTTCACTAGTCAACCAGTAAATGTCAGCTATTTTAAACTCATTCAATAATTATGTACTGAGATCAGATTATGTTATTTATTGAATCCTTATGTGCATTCAATGGCAAAAACAGATAAATAAATAAAACAGACCTGTTCTGAAATACCTTACAGATTAATAGATTTAAAAACCATCAAGAACCAATCTAACTGAGGAAAATCTCCATTTTTAATTGTTTTCAAGAGCCCAAAGATAATCAGATGCAAATCTGGAGAATAACTTGGCGATGATGCTGAGCAATACTCTTTTTGATCAAACCTAGTTGAGACACTAAAGTAACAAACAATTTTCTTGGGTGGCTCATTACTTGAACTTTTAAAGATATTTTTTCAGCAACTCCAACACCATTAGAACAAATATAGATTCCAAAGTTGAATATTTTGACAATAGTCACTGAAATGTATACACTTTAGTATGTTTGATTAAAAGGAGGTGTCAATTCATAACCATCTGAATGGTGGCCGTGAGCAGAAATAGCAGCAATGAAAGTTAAGTCATAATGTTCATGGAATGACATATACATAAGTATACGCTCCTGTCCTGTCTACACAAAGATATAGATCTCCAACCACTAATGAATAATAATAAACAATAGGGCTAAAAATGCTCATTACTCCATAGAAAACAGCTTAATTTTTGATCATCCTATTTAATTAATCTGATTCTATTAAAAACTGACTTGAAGGAGCTCCTACTGACCAAATCGAGGAAAATTTTAGCACCAAATCAATTAGTGATAATTTATTATAACCCATTAAATAAAGTAGGAATTTATGAGTTAAAACTGATGAAAGAAAGAAAGAAAGAGAAAGGAAGGAGGAAAGAAAGGAAGGAAGAGGAAGAAAGGTTCTTTCTTATGCTAAAGTGCTAACAAGTATAAACAGAAGAAATGACAAAATTAGAAAATCACTATTTGACAAATATGATAATAATTGGTTCTGGTAAGATCCATCATTAGATGCTAAACCTAGGGTAAAAATTTTTGATGAGGAAGAAGGTATATACCCAGTCTTAAAACATTGCCTCACAAGATAAAAATAGCAAGTCTACAGTGTAAGTGTGTTAAATTATCAAATTTAGCGTTAACTGCCATGCAACAAACTGACAGTATATGGTTCCTAACATGATGTATTGAGATGTATTTCTAGAAAAAAGGCATAACCTCAATCTAACAATGACGAAACATAACCAAACCAAAACTGAGAAATAATCTGAAAAATAGTCTATATTCTTCAAAAATATCAAGGTCATGAAAAGCAAAGACAGACCAAACATATTAAAGGTGACTAAAGAAAAACAACAGCTAGGTACAACGTGAAATCCTGGTTTTTACCCTGGAAAAGATGTTTTTGCTATAAATGACATTATTGGGAAAATCAGTGAAACGTGAATAGCGTCTAAAGATTAGATAATAGTATCGTACAGATGTCAGTTTCCTGATTCTGATCATTTTAATATGGTTATGTAGAAAATATCCACTGATGAATTGAGAGGAAAGAGGCACCACTTCTGCAACTTTGTCTTAAATAATTCAAAATAACCATAGAAAAAAGACCAAAAATATGTATAGAGGGGTAAAAGAAAATGATAAAGTAAATTTGTTCACTTTAGTGAAGAAATCTGCATAAAGAATATAGGGGAATTCTTTGTACTATTTTTGCAACTTTTCTGTAAATCTGAAATTATTTCGAAACTTAAAAATTACTTTTTAAGTAGTCTGAAATGTCAATGATGTAAGAGATTTGTGTTCTAGACAAGAAACCCCATGCTAACAATTAACAAAATTAATGAAAGATACTTTAAGTTTGTTGCAGACATGTAAGTGGGCTATTCAGCCAGTTAAATTAAAAGAATAAACTTTTCTTTGGTTTTGGTGGATTTTTAAAATCTTAAGTAACATATTAATTAAGTGGGAACGTATAGTATTAAAATAGGAGCTTAACTTGAGAGAATCATGTTATTTAGAGAAGTTATCACTAAAATGGGTTCCCCTGTAGGGACATCAAATCTGCTTTATAAGAGCATCACAGTGATTTTAAACCTAACTGTAAGATCCAATACTTGTAAAAAGTTTGGGCCAGCATTTTTTAAAAAATACTTTATTTATTTCATTAAATCTAAAGTATTAGGCTCTTACTCCAAGCAGTCCCTGTATTTTATTAACATGTTTTAAACTTTTCTTGCCAAAGGTGAACTCTCATCATTTAGTTGTCTACTTATTTTTTTTCTTTTCCCTCTCTATATCTTTTAATTTCACTTAGATGCCTCTAATAAAGAATAAATTAAGAACAAATTTAAAGTATTATAGTAGAAAATAGTAACAAATCAGAAAACTTGTGAAGTAGGCAAATGATTATAAACCTCCTCATTTTGTATCAAAAAATTATTTTTTTCTTAATTTCTGAAATAATTAAACTGAAGTATAAGTTGGCATGTTATCTCATACTTCTGCAAGTCTATCAGTGGATATAGATGATTGTGTTATGCTATATTTATTAAGGCAATCTTCAAAAATCCCAAGAGTCAATTATAGGAAATGGTAAGTAGCACAGAGAGAAATTATCTTACACTTTTATTTTGTAGAATTAATTTGGGGCACTTCAACCAATGTTTATTGACAGTGCAATGGGCCAGGGATTGGTCTAAATGTTGGTGGACCAAAGATGAACAAGCTACAGTGATTACTCTGAAAGAGCTCACCGTCTGGAAAATAGAGACTCTTCAACAAATAATACATACAAATGCATATGCTGTGAACGGTACTTTAACAAAAATAAAATATCTAGTATAGTTTGGGTATAAAGAAATGAGTCATCAATTCTCCATGGAAAAATCAGCAAAGGCTTCTGAGAAGAATTCTCATTCTAAAAATTAAACCCAATTTTGTTCTCACATAAATATTATCAATAACTTCAAAACTACATGTAAATGTGACTAAAGTGAATTAGTTACAACAAATTTAATAATTCAAGTGCCAACATATATAAATTTTATATTTACCTTCACAATTAGTTGATAATGTTGTCTGCCTAAGTAACCTCTCCATCGTTTCTGAATAATTGTTGCTACTCTGTGTAAGTACCTGGGTGAAAAATATGCTTATTAGTATGCTTTCACTGAAACAATGATATATCTTCAATTTTTGCTTAGAATATTCCTTTTCACAGTTCAAGAAATCAAATTCAAAGCCGAGTTTACATGTACTTTTAAAGACAGTATGAAGGTTCCCAAAAAACCTAAAAATATGACCTAACTAAAAAAACTAAAAACTACTATATGATCCAGCAATCCATTCCTGGGTATATATATCCAAATAAAACAAAAACATTAATTTGAAAAGATATATGTACCCCAATATCCAATAGCAGCATTCTTTATAATTACCAAGATATGGAAGCAGCCTATATGTCCATCAACAGATGAATGGATAAAGAAGATATTTTTATATATACATATATATACACACACACATATATATATGTATATATGTATGTATACACACACACAAACACACACACAATGGGATACTGCTCAGCTACAAAAAAGAATGAAATTTTGCTATTTTCAACAACACGGGGTATTATGCCTAGGGAAATTAGTCAGACAGAGAAAGCCAAATACTATATGTTATCACTTATATGTGGAATCTAAAAAATAAAACAAACTAGTGAATATAACAAAAAAGAAGCAGACACTCAGATATAGAGAATGAACTAGTAGTTACCAGTGGGGTGATGGAAGAGGAAGGGAATAGATAGAGGTAGGGTATTAAGAGATACTACTCTGTAAAAAATAAATAAGCTAAAAGGATATATTGTACAGCACAGGGAATATAGCCAATGTTTTGTAACTATAAATGTAATATAATCTATAAAAATTTTGAATCGCTATTAATATGAAACTAATATTGTAAATTACTTCAATAAAAATAAATAAGAGAAAATTAAAAAGAAAGAAGAATGCAATGAAATATTGAAATATATTTTTTAAAAGACTATGTAAAACAGGTCATAGTGACATGTTAAGAAATAAGCCAGGCACTATTGATATGAATCGCTATAAGTACTTTGAAATAATTTGTGAGGTCAAGAAACACTTCCCTTTTTCATTCTCATATTACTCAGTCTATCTTAGCTAAAGTCATTTTAGTCTGCTGAATTAAAAAATACTCTCTGCTCCCATGTTCCTATTTGGTATAGTGGCCAAATGAGAACCGTCATCTTCATGCTTTTATTTGCATGTCTGGCTCCTACTAGTAAATATAAGGAATTATACAGTATAACCCCTAGCTGACCATCTGAGTTAATTACGGATTAGTCATATTCTTCCAGGGCAATATTTTTCAGAATTGATGAGAAACTGAGGGAAATCTGAGCACTGAAGAAAAAGTGGAAACAGTTAAGATAGGGATCAACTGCAGTCTCTGTAATCAGAATGACATCATTTTGGTGTCATTTGCCTTTATTTACCAACACGTTGGAGAGGACTGGAATAGCTTCTTTTTGTTTTGTTTTGTTTTTCTTTCTTACCAGTCAATAAGTTCATTGCTATAAAAATACAAGTCCAATAATTTGTCACATCCTATGGAACTTGAAGAAAATAATCTGATCAAGTATATTTATGACATTGAGAATTTTTAAAAGAGATATGGTCAACATCATTTGGTTTCTTTATATGTGAGAAAATATGACCAAAAAGAGTTATGTCTTTAAAGGACATCATATAATTTATTAACTTCATTACAAGTAAAATAAAAAATTATTTGCAATAAGAACCACATGAATAAATTACATTTTCTAAGGAGTATATTTTTATGATATATCTGAGGTTCCATGACAAAATCAATATACCTGATATATGCTCGAACTTGACATCCTCGAAACCAGCTCTGGATTTTAACTGCTGCATCATTCTCCTTTTTTCGAAATACATCCACAACGCTAAAAAGAAATTTTTTAAAGCATTTCATTAGTGACTAATATAATTCTAAAGCAAATCAACCTGTTAAACTTAATTTTTAATTTCTTTGAAAATGGTAATTATAATTCAAATGTCATTTTACATAAAATTAAAATACTAAAGAAACTATTCCAGAAATTATAAGCTATGCTTCAAAAATTAACCTTTCTCTAAGAGGCCATGTGCTTTCAACAGCTTTACTTTTTTTAAATTTTATAATCACCTATTTGCAACTAATTAATTCACCAGTGGTTTTTATAAGGAAATTTAAAAAGCAATGTGCCATTTTGTCATTATTTTAAAAACATAATCATTTGAATTTACCGTTTAAATGCCACTACACATATTATGAAAGATTAAAATCGTTGCATATTTCACTTACTTTATCAGTTAAATGAATTGCCTCTAAGTAAAATGCATCCATCATTTTACCTGTTCTAGATAGAGTTCTTAGAACATGTATTTCAGTTAAAGGAGGCAGGGGCCAGGGCCATAGGCCTTATAAAGAGGTAAGAAATTCAGTCTTTAGATTTTACTGACTTATAGGAAGAAAAGGTTTAGTCAGGACAGATCTCCATCTTAATTTTTTCAGTCATTACAATTCTCCCTCTCCATCCCCATCTGATAAAGTCATGTTGCTTAGGGCAATTACTGTAGACCACAGAGTAATTTCTCTCCTAGAAGGCTGGCTGGCATTTAGCACTTTATGTTTGCTGAATGAATAAAGAATTGCTAGTCACTTATTTTTTACTTTTTAAAAAATTCTCTCAAGAATTGTGTTTTCTTAGGCTATTTTTTTGTTTTCATTGTACGTTAAATATATAGATTTCATTAAATTTATATAATTAGAACAAAAATAGAATGGGAAAAATATTTCAAACAATATTATGAAGTTGGCTGAGAAAGCAAACAGGATTAGCAATTAAACTGTCAGTGACAAATAGTTAAAGAAGTAAATAGACAGATTATCTACTAGATAAGCAGGAAAGAGAGTTAGTTACCTAGAAAGCCTGACTGAAAAGGACCTACAAAAGCAGAGAGAGGAACAAAAATTATGCATCAAGTCAGTGACCCAGATGTGAAAAAGAGTAGTGGTGAGAAATCGCACAGATCAGTAAGGTTGCATAAAGGGTAGCAGAAGTGAAGAACAAACTGTAAAAACTACACAAGAGAATTGTCACTCACTTTACCAGATAATGGAAGGCACCATGATAAGATTATCGTATGATGCAATAAAATTAGCTGGAAATAACTGTGTGAGGACACAGTAGACAATTAGAAGAAAAGAAAGTTTCGTTATTGCTGTATGTTTGCCCTTCAGGTACAAAATAATAGCAGAAACATGTATAAACTGTATTCTTGGCTCAAATTATTAGACTGCACGTGGGACAGACAACAGCTTAAAGTCCTTTCCTCCATGGAGCCTTCCTTGAATCCCCAGAATCCATGAGGCCTTTCCATTACACACGCTCATAGCTCTTCATAACATTTAACACAATCATATGTAATTGTTTAATGAGGGTCTTTCCACTAAACATTAAGATGCAAAAGGCAGTCATCTTGTCTATTTTGTCCCACATGACTCTCTCAGTGGGTCCAGAGAGATAATGGATGTTATGCCTAACACTCAACCTTTGTCCTCCCAGAGCTGCTTCCTCTGGGGGACTGCATGTCACCTGCCACATTTAATCTCTGTGAAGAATGCCATTTGCAAGCTCCCTCACTACACCTTTCACTGCATGGACATCTCTCCCCATTTTAGGATGACAGAGTTGTTGAGAACCCAACAGGAACCCCCATGCTCTTAGTAACTTGAGTCCTGGGGTGATTATGGGTAATAGACAGGCAGATCTCTGAATGAACCTGTTGAAAGAAGTAGAGAAAAGAATAATAATATCTTAAACAAATTAATACCTTATGTGCTAGCACTGTTCCTAGCATTTACATACCACTGAGTTAACTCACATATAATCCTTTCACATCTCGATGAAGTAAATAAATATGCCCATTTGACAGCAGAAGATACTGAGGCAGACGGAAGTGTAGCTATATGCCCAAGGTCACACATTGGTGGGTGTCAGAGCGGAGATTTGATTCTAGGTAGTCTACCTCTCAAGGCTGCATTCCTAACCATCACTTCCCCCGAAGGGGAAGAGGAAGGATGAGAACAGAAGGGAGGGAAGTAAAAGGGAAGAAAAAGCAGGTAAAAAGGGCAAGAGGAAAAATGCACGTAAGCCATTTCCAAATATAATATTGAAATTGTGTGGCATAAAATAGCACCAATCTCCTAATAACAATAAATAAAGATGAAGATGTGGAAAAACATCAACATCTATAGCAAAAAACAAAAATTTCTCACTATACCGAGTACTGTGAGAATGCAGTACAATAGGCACTCGTGTATATGGCCAGAAGGAAACAATTTGGTCTTTGAACACATACAGAAAACCTTCATTTATAAGAGTTTCAAAAGTCACACAACTTCAGGAATGTTCATTAGAAGTGCATACACATGGTAGTAAAGCTATAATGGGAATGATAAAACACAAATTTCAGGACAGACGTGCAGTAAATTTCTAAGAGCTGTCATGTCTTCATAAACTAGGAATGCCATAAACGGGAAAACCAAAGACTTTGTGCTGTGGTCACTATATTTGAGGGAAAGAAAAGAAACTTTGAAAAAATTAAACAACCCAGTTGAAAAGCAGCAAAACACAGGCAATTTACAGAAAAGAAAATACAAGCAATTTACACTTCTAAAAGCCTCTGACCTGGGTTCTGGGTATATTTGCACTTTTGAGATCTATAGCAAACCATCTTGTGAGTGCCGATGTGTATTTCAGGAAAAATGACACTGAAACAAACAAGGTCCTTAAAATTTCAGAAAACAAGGCCCTTTAGTCAAGAAGCTGAAGTTAGGGATTGATGAATGGTTACCAATGTTAAATTTTACTGTCAAATGTCATCACTGTTCCAAAAAAGGTAAGCACATTTAGAATTTCGTTCTGAACAGTTAACTGATAGATGTTACTTCCACAAAATATGTGAATTTGCTGCTTCTGCAAGGCAATGTGAAAGAGGAAGTATTACCATTATGTATTCAATACATTTATTTATGGAATTTTGGTACAATGTACATTGAAAAACATGTGAAATACTGAAGAGACTAACAAATGGCATTAAAGTGTTTTTAATAAAAGATCTTTTATAAAATGTTGTTTTAAAAAAGCACCAAAAGACACTCAAGATGAGTCAGGAATTTTTTAATGATGTATCATTGTACTATTAAAGTAACAGAAACAACCTAAATAAGCAAGAGATGGACTACAGTACATCCATAAAATGGAAAACTATTTTGTCCTTACAAAAAATTAAGTGGATCAATGTCTTCACATAGACAAAACATGTTGTAATGGGAAAAAAAAGGAAGATACAGTACAATACATGATCCCATATTTATAAAAAACAATTTTAACTACATGAGTATGTGAATATAGGCACAGAAAAAGTCTTGCTTTGTACAAATAAGGTTATTAAAAGTGGTTGCCTTTAGGAAATAAAATTTGAAAGGAGAAATTTACTTTATTAACTTCTGAATTTGGCAAATTATTTTATAAGAGCTGTGTAATACGTTGTAATTAATTTTTTTAAAATTTGTAATGAATAAACTAACACAATCCCTTAGAAAAATAGAAACACATTTTCAAGTTTAAGGGAAATATTAGACTTATCTAGGCATTAAACCCTAAGGAATTTGACCATTTAATATAACATGAACTATGGCCTAACCTAGTTAAAATATTAGGATAGTGGTCAGCACTTTTGCTTTGTGGAAAGACCTTAGCTCAAATTCTAACTGTGTCACTTACTGGTTGGGTTACCTTAAGCAAGTTTTTTAATCCAAAATTCAGTTTCTTCTGTAAAATTTCAACAACAGTGTATCATGGGTATGTTTGTTGGCATATCACAAAGAAACTGGAAGACTGGTAAGTAATATGTTTTCAATAAATGATAATGATAATTACTACATTTTTACATAATGATGGGCATCTATGTAGATTGCAGGAAGAAAAAAATACCAGTCTGTCAACATCTTATTCATTAATTCAAAAAGATTTATTATATGTAAACTATGTGTTAGTACAGCATTTAATTATTATTGAATAAATCTGACATGTAACACTTTGTTAAGCTTAAGGTATACAGCTTATTACAAAGATACATTTACATATTGTAATATGATTGACAATACAGTGATATTTATCATATTACATAATTATAATACAATATTATTGTCTATATTTATTATATGAATTAGATCTCTATGGCTTATTTACTACTTATTACACATTTGTGCCCTTAAACACCATCATTCTTAGCCACCCCCCTCCTCTGGTAACCACCATTTACTCTGTTTTTTATGGGTTTAATTTTTTCAGATTCCACATATAAATGATCTAATATAGCACTTGTCTTTCTGTCTGACTTACCTCACTTAACATAATGTACTCAAGGTCCATCCATGTTGTCACAAATGGGAAGATATCTTCCTTTCTTACGGCTGAATAATATTCCATTGTGCATATGTACCACATCTTTTTTACCCATTCATCCATTTATGGGCATTTGGGTTGTTTCCAAATCTTGGCTATCATAAATAATGCTGCAGTAAATGTGGAGTGCATATATCTTGTCAAAATCCTGTACTCATTTCTTTTGGGTATATACCCAAAAGTGGAATAGCTGGATCATATGGTAGATCTATTTTTAATTTTTTGAGGCATCTTCACATTGTTTGCCATACTGGTTGGAATAATTTACATTCCCACCAACAACATACAGAGGTTCTCTTTTCACTACATCCTTGACAGAACCTGTTGTCTCTTGTCTTCTTGATGACAGCCATTTTAACAGATGGGAGATGATATCTCATGGTGGTTTTTGTTTGCATTTCCCTTATGATTAGTCATGTTGAGCATCT